GTGGCCATAACTCCCAGCAGAGGCCAGGGGCAGCCACATCCCCCGGCAGCAGGACTTTCACCCCTGTGTGGTGGCTCCTTGGTGACCCAGCTGCCCTTTGCCCACCTCCCTCCCTGAGCTGGGGGGCAAAGAGGCCTCCTGGGACCATGTCCCCAGCATGGTCAGGGAATCCCAGGAGAGCCGTGCCCATTCCCACAACCGTGTCACCGGTCCGGTTTGGCTGTCGCACGCCCTGGGAGTCAGGTGGAGCAGCCGCTGAGCTGGAAGGGCCCGGTCATTATTTGACGTGCTTTGAACTACAAACCCCAAAGAAAGTAACTCCTGCTGTGATGGGGACACCACCTGGGGGGACCGAGCCCGGCTGGACAGCGTCTGCTGGCCAGGCACAGCCTGGGAACATTATCCTGCCTGGTGCCCACACGATGCCAAAGTTGGGTGCTGGGGTTCCCCTTCCCTTCTGAGCCCTCTGCTCTGCTCTTGTCTGGGGGCTCGAATGTCTATGTGGATTCTGACCAGCTAGAGGGTGCCATGGGGGTTTTGTCTTGCCTGGACAAGGACACAGCCATGGGCATGGCTTTGTCCCCACTAGCAACCTCTGCAGAGAGCTTGGGGCTGGCAGGCGAGGTGGGTCTCTCCCCTCCTTTATAACCCGCTCCCCTGTCTCCCTCAAGGATGCCAACAGATTTACATTGCCATCACACTTTGAGGAGGGCAAGGAGAAGTGCCCGTACGACCCTGCCCGTGGGTACACCGGCCTCATCGTAGGTAAGCAGCACCTTTTCCAGGGCTGGTGGGGACATGTTGGGATGCCACCAATCCTGGCCCCATCTCCAGTGCCCCCACGGGGGGGTCCCCAGCTGGGCGGGCTCTGCCTGCAGGGACCTAAGCAAGGCAGGACTTGGTCCTCCTCCTCCTTTTCCACTTGGGGCATGGGGATGCTGTTGGCTTCTGGGGCTGTCCTGGAGTGCAGGGCAATGCTGATGGTGCCTGTCCTGCCCAGATGGTGGGTTGTACACGGCCACACGCTATGAGTTTCGGAGCCTCCCTGACATCAGGAGGAACCTGCACCAACGGCCACTGAGGACAGAGGAGTCCCCACTGCACTGGCTGAATGGTGAGACCCCTATGGTCCCCTGGGGCCAGTGTCACAGGCTGTGGGTCACTGTGCCTTGCCTTGGGGAGCATGGAGCAGAGGTGGGGGGTGCCCCTGGGGTCTTGTGTGGTTTGCCATGAAGAAACTGAGGCAGGGAGTGATCCTCCATCCTGTGGTGGGTCCCCAATGTCTACCTCTCACTCCATGATCCCCAGATGCTGAGTTCGTGGCCTCAGTGCTGGTCCGGGAGAGCAAAGACAGCCCTGTGGGTGATGATGACAAAATCTACTACTTCTTCACGGAGTGGGCAGGCGAGGAGACCACATCCTTCTTTGACAAGAGCCAGGTGGCCCGAGTGGCCCGGGTGGCCCGTGTCTGTAAGGTATGCATGTCCCCAGCCATGGGGAGCCAAGCACTGGGACAGAGGCTTTGGGGGAAGTGAGGCATGGGCAGAGGGACATGCACCCCCCACCAGCTTGTGCAGAAATGCTCCCTGCACTCTCCCAGAGCGATGTGGGGGGGAAGAAGATCCTGCAGCGCAAGTGGACATCCTTCATGAAGGCTCGCCTGGTCTGCTACATCCCCTACTACGAGGTGCTGCGCAGCGTCTGCAGCCTGGATGGAGGCAGCTGGGCCAGCACCGTCTTCTATGCCGCCTTCACGCTCTCAGCACAGTGGTGAGGAGGGCAGTGGCCAAAACGGCCAGGGGTGAAAGTAATGGGGGAGGCCGGAGATGCTCAAGGGCAGGAGCTGAGCACCTGGGGGTGCAGTGGTGGGGAGCACCTGTCTGTCTGCCTGGGCTCAGGTAGGGTTTTTGCCTCCCAGGAGGACCATGGAGGCCTCAGCTGTGTGCCGCTACAGCATCTCAGCGGTGCAGCGCGCCTTCGAGGGTCCCTACATGGAGTACCAGGACTCAGCTCGCAAGTGGTCCCGCTATGACGGTGCAGTGCCTGAGCCCCGGCCTGGCTCTGTGAGTGCCTGGGGGTGTGGAGCTGGGGGGACATGGGGCAGCTGCATTCCCCCCTGACCCCCGTCTTGCCTGGGCAGTGCATCACGGACCGCTCCCGCAGGAAGGGCTACAACTCCTCGCAGGACCTGCCCAACAGTGTCCTGGACTTCGTGAAGCTGCACCCACTGATGTTTGAGGAGGTGAAGCCGGCTGGCGGGGGGGGGCAGGCTGTGCTGTACAGCCAGCTGGCTGTGGACAGGGTGCGGGCCCTCGACGGCCGCTCCTACGATGTGCTCTTCATGGGGACAGGTGAGTGCAGGATGAGTTTGCCAGGCCTCTGCAGGGCAGGGAGAAGACCCCACACTCCTTCCTGACCCCCTGTTCTGTTCTCCAGGGGACGGCTGGATCCACAAGGCTGTGGTGGTCGGCTCTGGCATCCACATCGTGGAGGAAGTGCAGGTGTTTAGGGACCCGCAGCCTGTGGAGAGCCTGGTGATCTCCCATGCCCAGGTGAGGAGTGGAGGAAGTGAGGGCACACCACACATAGGGCACGTTTGTGCTGCAGCCTTTGGGCTGTTTGTGGAATGGGGGGGACATGACACCTGAGTCACCCCAGCTCGGGATACATGCCAGAGCCTAAGGAGAGGGAGCAGCCTGGCCTCCAGCTGCAGCCATCAGCACTGACTGGAGCTGGAGGCCCTTCCACATGCACCCCACCAATGGAGAGCTGCGCTGTGGGGCTGGATCTCTGGGTGCCATGGGGCACCCCACAGCCCAGTCACACCATACAGGTCAGTGCTGAGCCAGCCCTTTTCCCACAGAGGAGCCTGTATGTGGGGGGAGCCAGCGGGATCCTGCAGGTGCCCCTGGCCTCCTGCGCCAGGTACACCTCCTGCTACGACTGCATCCTCACCCGGGACCCCTACTGTGCCTGGGATGGCAGGTCCTGCCGCGCCACTGCTACTACAGACAGGTAGGGACAGGCTGCCCATCCCCAGTGAGGTCTCTGTGAGCCTTCCACCTACTCCATCCCACGCTGTTGCACATCACCCCATGGGACAGTCACCCCAGTGCCACCTCAAGGGTCTGGCATCCCTCAGCGGGTCTCCCGGTGGCTGTGACCCCATAAGGGTGGGCTCAGCCAGGGCTGTATGGCTGAAGCCCCGGTGTCTTGCAGCGCAGGGCTGGTGCAGGACATTCAGAGTGGCAACGAAGGATGCCGGAGCAGCTCCGGGCGGGGTGAGTCTGTGCTGCCCCTTAGGACCACAGGGGATGCTGGTGTCCAGCATCTCTTAGGGTGACTGGGAAGGGTGCAAGGCAGTGCTTGTCCCCACAGGCTCTCTGCCGTGGAAGAACAGGACGGTGCTGCAGGGGGACGATGTGCTGCTACCCTGCGACCAGCGCTCCAACCTGGCACGAGCCGTCTGGCTGCTGAACGGCAGCGAGGCACTGGGCGCGGGGCAGGACCGGCTGCGCATTGGCGTGGACGGGCTGCTGGTGACAGACACGCTG